GCTATTTTTTGGTTGCAGCCGTCATTGTTGTTTGGCGGGTCCGGGCTGGGGATTCGAACCCGCCACCTTAGGTGTACGTGGCTGGCGCCCCAGCCCGTTGAGCCATAGGCGCCAAGCCATGAATTATCACATTTTAAGAACTTTGAACAGAATGACTTATGGTAAGCACTCAAGAATTATTAGCTATGATTATTATTATTACCATTATCATGTTATTCATATTTTAAATGAGAATGAAAAAAATGTTCATTGTCAAAAATCAAAAGATATCATTATCACCATTATTGGGGCTTTTATTATATAAGGTAGCTTGGGTAGAGCTGTTAGAGATTCAGATGGTGCAGACAAAGTTCCTCAAGTAACATCTTGGTGCAACAATTCTGTTTGGCAAATTATTTTACACACTAAGCTTTACATATCTCATTTGTAAGATGGCAATATTAATAGTCACAGTGTAGGATTAAATGAGATAAAATAAAGCTCTTAGTACCGTGCGTAAAACATAGTTACTGCTTAGTAAGTGATAATTATTTATCATCTTAATTTGGTTAGTGATAGCAAGCTATTAGCTACAGGCCTATGAAAGTATCTGGGCCGGAAAGAGAAGCCCAGACATCTCTTACTATTGAGGTTTGCTCCAGTAAGATGGAAATCAAAGCACCTGCAAGCTTGATCTTGAGCTGAATTAGACAGTCCCAACCTAAGTCAGGGGTCTCCAGTTGGTAGTACTCCACCACCTAATCCTGCCCAACGAAGTATTATGGCTTTGAAGGAAAATCAGAAATGTTTCTTGGTGTCCTACGGAAAAACAATAACTTTTCTTTTTTTTTTAATAATCTAGTGATATCAGAAGTTTGTTTTCTGAAAATATTACCTATTAAACTGGTATCTTAAGAATTCTTCTTCTGTGGCTCAGTACCTGTAGTGCAGTGGTTACAGCACCAGCCACATACACTGAAGTTGTCCAGTTCAAAACCGGAACGGACAGCTAAACAACAATCGCAACTGCAATAAAAAATAGCTGGGCATTGTGGCAGGTGCCTGTAGTCCCAGCTACTTGAGAGGCTGAAGCAAGAGAATGGCTTAAGCCCAAGAGTTTGAGGTTTCTGTGAGCTGTGACACCACAGCACTCTACCGATGGTGACAAAATGAGACTTTGTCTCAAATAAATATATAAATAAATAAAATAGAAGAATTCTTCTTTTGTTCCTACCTACCTTGCCAAAATATTGAAATCTAAATGATATTAGGTCTGTCATGGGCTGTTTCATGACCCAACAAGAAATGAGATTTGGAATCAGGGCAGCCTATGACTCAAATTATTGTTATTCAAGTAGCACTCAAGTGCCTAAGAAATAGAGCAGTGAAGTATAGGAATGTTTGACCCATTAGGCAGAACAAAGAGAAATTGGACCTGCCCTGTAAACAAGCATTATGCATTTAGAGAAAGTGAGGAGAACCAAAGCCTGTAGACAGAAGAGGCCCAATGTACCCATGGCTGCACAAACACCAGGATCATTTCTTTTATATACATTTGCAGCTACTTGCTTGGGAGTAGTTATGAAACATTATGGAAAAAGAGGCCATTAAAGAATATTTTCCTAGAAAGAATTTTTTTATTTACTTGTTTTTTAGGGACAAAGTCTTGCTCTATTGCCCAGGCTAGAGTGCAGTGGCCATATCATAACTCACTGAAACCTTAAACTTCTGGCCTCAAGCATTCCTCCCACCACAGCCTCCCAAAGCCCTGGGGCTACAGGCATGAGCCACCGCTCTCAGCCTAGAAAGAATTTTTAGATGCAGAAACTACCATAGTCCTAACATTTATTCATTTATCCATTCAACAACCTATGGGCAAGTGTCTGGAATGCCAAGATGAATAAAATTTATTTTTAGTACCAAAGAGCTCAGTCTAGAGAGGAAAGGATGAAGAAATACAAAGACGATTGCAATGCATCATGATAAGGAGGTCATGTCTCATAGCAGTCAAAAACACAGATTCTGATTTCAAGCAGACATGGGTTTGAGGCTGACTTTGCCATATATCTGCCCTTGGACAAGACCCTTGGCATCTCTGAGGCCCAGCTTCTTCATTTGTATGACAAGCGCTGGGAGTCGCCAACCCCATATTCATTTTCCTCTTGCTCGTTTCTAACAGAGTTCAGGTTTCATTCAGGGCTGAAATCTGCCCAGGAAAAAGAATTCTCAGGCTCTCGGACAGCTAAGGTTGGCCATGTAACACAATCTGGCCAGCAAAAGGTAGGTAGGGGACAGCATTCCTTCCCAATTAGTAAGACAAAACCACAAAAAGAAAAGACCCTTTTGCCCTCTGCCCTTCACCCTTCACCTTTCCTCTTTCTTCCTTCCTCCTGCCTGGAACACAGACTGGAAAAACAGCGGACATCTTGTCCACAAGAGCAAAAGCCAAGGCTGAGAATTGTATTGTGGAGCAGCCATGCTAGCCAGAGTCCATCTACCTCTAATTTATTGCTATTTGAAAAAATAAGTTCTCATTTGGTGAAGCCTTTGTAGACAGGTTTCAACATGCAGCCAAATTCAACTCCTAACTGATACAATCTGTAAACCAAGGATAA